CGGGGCAGTCAGGGGACAGGGAGCAGGAGGGGTTGGATAGGGGGTGGGATCCCGGGGGGGGGTGATTTGGGTCAGGGGGTACTGGGAGGCGGCACTCAGGGGATGAGAAGTGGGTGGGGGCAGGGCCCAGGCTGTTTGGGGAGGCACAGCCTTCCTACCCGGCCCTCCGATGTGGCCCTCGGGCCAAAAAGTTTGCCCATCCCTGCTGTAGGGCATAATGGTGAATCCCAAAAGAAAGTCTGTAATAGCCATGGACAGAATCAAGAAGTTGGTTGGAGAGTGAAGCTGTTTGAAATAGGAGATTGAAGATTTCCAAGATAAGACAAGTTTTCCAAGGACACTGATGAAGATGACTCCAGTCATGAACAAATACATTGCACCTCGAACACCTGATGACCTGGACATTTCAGGACAAGATCCATTTTCAAATTCGGAGCAATCAATAAAGTTCTTGGTTGTATTAGAAGAAACCATAATCTTTTAGCTAATATGGTCAGACAATAATATTTGTATGTGACTTGTAATATTCGTAGCAATATAGCTCATATATTAGAATAAAACATACAGTTAGTTGACAGTAACTATTTAATGAGCTCAGCTGATGTAAAACAATATGATAAAATTAAACAAATTAAATAGTAAGCATTCAGGGAGGGAATGGAAGAGCAGTGAATTCAATATCATGTATTTTTCATCCCTATTTTATATTATTAGCTTTAATAATCTGATTAGTTATTTATTATTTGTATTACAGTAATGCCCTGAATCCCAAACAAGACCAGCTCCCTATGTGCCGTGTGAAGTGCTAACATAAAGGTCACCAGATTTTCACTGACAATATTAGATTAAAATATATCTTGTAATTTATCAGCCATTGGAAACATTCATGTTATAGGCTCTGTAATGGATGTAGTGGGCTAGTTGATTCTCTCCAGGCCTTTTCTTCGAACAGTCAGGCAGTCCTCCTCGGCAGTCCCAGGAGTCATTTCAGATTTTGATCACAAATACAGAAATACAGTTTTATTTTGAAAATATGACCAAGTTTTCTCAGCACACTAAGGTTTTCCAGAGAAAACATATTCAGGAAAGCAGGTGCATTTTGTCTGTCACAAAGTCTTCAGTTGTCCTCAGTACAGAACTTTATAGAGTGAAATAAATCAGAAAACTGGGATGAAAGTTGGTTAATTGCATCATCTAAAGGATAAGAAAATAAGAATTCATAAGGTAGAAACAAGCTGATAACATTTTGTTGCATTGTTAGCTGTGACTACAATACTACCAACATTTAAGCATGTAGATAACTTAATCTATGTGAGTAGTCCCATCAAAGTCAGTGGGTCACCCACTATTCAAATAGTACCATTCACATTGGGCAAGGTTTAGGCGTCTGCCTTTTTGGTAACAATAAAATTGTTGCTAATCATTAGAAGCAGCATTTTGCACATAGACTGAGGAACCTTTGTCTGGACAACAGCATATTAAAAGCTACTAATACAGCTTGTGGTTTTTATTCTCATTACATATTTTAAACTGTGAACTATGAAGCAAAATTATTTTAAAAGTTGCTTGTGGTCTTTGCTGGTCCATCCTGATGTTTCAAGACAACTTCATGAACAATTTTTGTAAACCTGGGTCAGAGGGCAGCCAAGAGGTTGGGAGAACTTCAATCTATTTATTTTTACATTTATATTTATTGTGATACACCCAGACCAGTTGGGAACAGCAGAGTAGCAGAAGAGAGATATACTGGCCACTGGATAAGTAGTTTTCTGTTCCCTGAGTGACCAGAGCAGGGGCTGCTCCAGGCTAATAGACCACCTGACTCCAATTAACCTGCTAAGAGTCAGGTGAGGCAGTTAAGCACCTGACTCTAATTAAGGCCCCTCTGATGCTATAAAAGGGCTCACTCCAGGGGAGAGGGTGAGTGTGTGTGTGTGTGTATATATATATATATATATATATATATATATATATATATATATATATATATATATATATATATATATATATATATATATATATATATATATAGTATAAGTATACTTTAGTTTGTTATGTAAGGCTTTTGTTAAAATGCTACTCCCAATATGAGGCTGCAACATTCTTGTTTAAAAGTTAATTCCCTCTGTATAATGCACCCCCTACACTCTTTAAAGTACTTAAATCCCAAGGATAGCTTTATAGAGAGTGACTATTGAGACTGTGATATATGGTTTAGGGTTTGGTGTTGCCATCTGATGGTTGTACAGTGGGATCACTGTGTCAAAGGAGAGTTGGTGGTCTCAAGTCAGTTCATAGTACAAAATGTGTATACAGGGGGCAGCTGAGGTGGCTCTCGTAGCGGAAAGATCAGGAATTTAATGGGTATGGGTACTTAATGACCTGGATGTCAAGAAGTGGCCATCTCAAGTTAAGGTTAGGTCTCTTTGGTGGATCTGTGTGAGGAATTTGCACTGCTGTGGCCTGTGCTTTGGGTAGATGGAGAGCAAAGTTCTCACTCTAGTACTTTTTGCAAGTGCTACAATTCACTTTTGCATCTTAAAAAAAGAGTAAAGTGTCCAGGAAGAAAGAGATGGATGGACTGGAATGAGTTATATTTTGGTGAAGGAACTTAAATGTTTTCTAAGGCAGAAACACCCTTCAATTTCAACAATCTCCAGTGGTATAAATCTTCGTGAGATAACTTTTTCTTTTCCTTATATACATCCTTTGAAATGTATTTTCGGTGTTTCTGATGTGACCATCACTGTAGTAGTTGTGTACCAATGTGTAGTGGATATCCTGGCTTATAACTATATAAAGACAAATGTATGCTATTGTACTGTAACATAACAGCATTTTTCTGAAGGCTATTCTGAAAGCCTGTTCTCTTGGGTTCTCATAGTTCTGGCACATGAACTTTTGAAAAGGCTGCAAAATCCTTTTTCCCCCTCCCCCGGACCTGTTATTTAAGTCTCTGCTTCTTAGCTTTGTTTGTGAGAATACACGATGTACTTCGTAATGCAATGCATATCCTTGAACTAGCAAACAATATTTTATGGGGAGTACAGTCAGATCTACTTCTGTAAAATACCACTAGTATAAGTCACTTTTTTAGTTCTGGCATTATAGAACAGCCCTGGCAGGAGGACTGTCTACATGGACTCTTCAGGCATTCAACAGTCTGTAGTGTGTGATGGCATTTTTTCCCAGAACATCTCAAACTCTTAGTGACTGGTGGTTGTGTAAACAGTGTCTGGGACGCTACTTTGGAACACCACTCAATTTTACAGAAAGGCCAAGGAAGAGTATGTGTGTTTCTGCTGTCTTTCATTTTGACTGGTTAACTTTTGAGAAACCAGAGATGTAATTTCACAAGCACATTTAAATGGTTTGTTTACCAACAGAGAGTAAATAAACTTGTTTTTGTACTTTGTCGGTGATGTGGATGGGGTAGAAATATGGTCAGACATAAAGCGGATTTAAATGTAATTATATTTGCATTAACACTTATTACATTTATTAACCAATTCACTTACAATATCACTGTGGTTAAATAGGTGCTCTCCCTGACAATTTGTAGGTGTGGTTAGTTGAGATACAGGGGATTACTCCAATTTTTTTTGAGAGGTGCAGCTAGATTTACAACTTTTAGTGGACTAGGGACTGAAGTAATTTGTCTTTGGAACAGACCTGAGAGCGGTGCCTCTGTGGAGATAGATAACTGTTCATTAGTAAGGCTGCTAATCTAGCTGAAATCTATTATTTTTCCCCAAAAGAAAGGGGAGAAATTGTTCAGGGATGTTCTGGCAATATGGGGTAGAATAATTTTTTTGTTTTTTGTTTACTTGATCCATTTTGACTCCTAATTTAATTAGATCTCAGTAATCCTCTGTCTTGAGAATAGAATGATAAACAACTTTATAAACTACAACTAATATCTGGAGCACCTAGGTTTGGGGTTGCAGTGATGTTAAAGAGATTTCAAAAATAAAGATAATGGCTTGCTGATAAATGTTTTGTAAAGACAGGAAAAGCTTGGGCTTTTTCAGTCTCAATATCCATGATCAGAATGGGCAGTTTTTGTGCCACTCCAAGTTATTTTTTTAATTCTTTTTAATTTATTTGTTCCATTTTCTCACTTTCTGACCCTTTTTTGTCTGTTTTTTTTAAATACTCTAAGAAAACTAATCTCCTTGCATTGAAAAACTATCTTAAAAAAAAGGGGTGGGGGGAAGGAAAAATTAGAACTGCCTTCCCTTTCTGTCTGTCTTATTACCTGGCTTTTTCTGCTTGTTCTCCCCCCTACTCTCCACCCCTGCATGCCCACATTTTCCCTTTATCCTGCTTGGCCTTCTCAGAGCAAGACTACACTACTGTGTTACATTGGCACAGCTGCACCGATGCAGCTGTGCTGCTGCAGCGTGTCTGGTGAAGACGCGCTACGCAGATGGGAAAGCGCTCTCCAGTTGGCATCATTACTCCATCTACGCAAGAGATGGAAGCTGTGTCGGCAGGAGAGTGTCTTGATGTAACTTACTTTGCTCAGGGGGGTGTTGTTTTCATGCCCCTGAGCAACATAAGTTACATCAACTTGATGGTAGCAACATGTCTGGTCGGGGCAAAGACGGCAAAGGACTCGGAAAGGAGGGCGCTAAGCGCCATCAGAAGGTACTTTGCAATAACATTCAAGGTATTACCAAACCGGCTATTTGTCGTTTGGCTCGTCTTGGTGGTGTCAAGTGCATTGGTGGGTTGATCTATGAAGAGACCCATGGCGTGTTCAAAGTTTTTCTCGAAAACGTGATCCGCAATGCTGTTACTTACACTGAACATGCGAAGCGGAAGACTGTGACAGCCATGGATGTGGTTTACGCTCTAAAACGCCAGGGTCATACTCTGTACGGATTCGGGGGCTAAGCCTTTCTTCTGACTTGCCTTTAAAACCAAACTTAAATGGTAGTGTAGATCAGCCCACAATGTTACTTCTCTCTGCCAGCGTGACTGAATGAGCTGATCAGACCTCTTTATGCACACTGTTCATAGGGTCTTCATGCTGGCCTGTAAAATAAGCATTTCTTACAGATAAGACACTAATAAAAAATAAAGGAAGTTTGTGGAGCAGCCTGGTGGCTCTGTGGTTAGTGACTATTTGTTTCATTATGCTTCCCTTGTCTGTCTGTGTCTTCCTGTTGACTCTTTGTTATACTTAGATGGTAAGATCTTTGGGGCAGGGAATATTTTTTGTGTTTGTACAGTGCCTATCACAATGGGATGCTGGTCCATGACAGGGGTTTCTAGGAGCTGATAGGCTGCCAATGGAGATCCATCCAGCTGTGTGCAATGAAAAGTGGTAATCTCAAAAGAGGAAGGTGTCCCATTGATATCACTGTTCATGAAGCCCTACACTGTAGACTAAAACTCTGTCATAGCTACTCCTACTTTCCAAGGAGGACAGGATGGGAATCCTGTCGGAGACTATCAATATTGCTCCTTAACTGAGCAATATGTTCATTATTAGGTAAATGAGAGGACTCCTTGTCTCTAGGTGTTGTGTGTATTACTTTTGCCTACACTGGGAATCATAGACTGGGACCAGAAATAAAATTCAAGCCTCCCAAATGGCAATGGGAAACATCTGTCTACAGGGAACTGACCAGCCTTCATTTCTATTTGTATTTTTTTTCTCTTAGTTTTTGCATGCCAGGTCAAATGGTTTGGCTTCTTCTGATACTTTTTGGCTCTTTCTGATGCTTGAATTGGCTTTTCCTTTGGCTTTGTTGCCTGCCTGACTGACTGACAAGCAATTTCCTAAAGGATGGACATGTTTTTGTCTTTATCCTCATTATACAAAGGCCCTACAAATAATTTAAATCTTAATAGAAACCTCCTCCATGAAGGTACTGTCTATCTTCCTTTGCACTACAAAAGGCCAAAATTAAAGTTAATGCAAAAAGTTTGTTCATCCAGCCCCGGACAATGAAATAAATTATTTGACGTGGACACAAAGATACCGATGTAATTTTGGAAAGTAAATTAACTAGGCTAGAAATGTTATTTTAGCATAAAACAGTGAAAGGAAGACGAGATCCTTTAAAAAAAAAAGTGCCCTTGAAGTGAAAATCAATACAAACAGGATAAAAAGAAAAATTCTCGTCCACTTCTTACAGCATGCCCATCACCATGGTCTAACTTTCATTAGCCAAACAAGGATATGATTGGAACAAAAGTTGTGTTCTCCACACCTCTTGTAATGTAAGCTTGAACAGGAGTGGGGAATCTAGGATTAATCTTGACCAACACATGTGAAAACTACAAACTGCCTTGTCTTCATTAGAGAGACAGGGTGATATCCTTTATTGGACCAATTTCTGTTGGTGAGAGACAAGCTTTTGAGCTTAAACAAAGCTCTTCTTCAGGTCTGGGAAACATACTTGGGCTATGTCTACACTACGTATTACTTTGGTATAACTTGTTTCGTTCAGGGGTGTGAATAATCTACACCCCTGAGCGACGTACGTTATAGCGACCTAAGCATGGTTGAAAGAAGAACAGGAGTACTTGTGGCACCTTAGAGACTAACAAATTTATTATTTATTATTATTCATTATGCAAGGCACTGCATTTAGCCGTATGGAATGGAAATCCATCAACCTCATGAAAAAACTCGTACAGAT